ATGGAATGTTTGATTAGTTGTGATATGTGCGTTCATTGTTGGGAGGCCTTGGCAACAATCTTGGTGTACAGGGAACGCCACATGAGATGTCATGCAGTGAGTTCTTGTTTCAGGTCAGTGTGTTTCTTTATTTGATGTTTCTTTCACCTTTAACGTTTCATTTCTCATTGTATTGTGGCCCTTGGTTTTCATGCATTTATCTTTGATGCAAGGAGCTGATTTTTTTTTTTGCTGGCTTTCTTGGCGCGACTCATTATCATTGCTTAAATACTTGTTGGCAAGGCCTTGCAAAAATTATATTTTCCCTTTGGTTTCTTTATTTAGTCATGATAATATATTTTAATTTATTTCGGAAAGTGAGTGAATACTTGTGTTATATGGTCTTTCAAAAGTGGAAACTTTAGAGGGTGGTTTTTGTATGTTCTTGTGAAGTACTGTGCATGGGTTAACATAGATTTTAACGTCTATTGGCGTGCTGAAATGGTGTAAATTCAGCCAGGTTGACAACCTGAAATAGTTGGGATAAGGTCTTGTTTATAGATCGAATTTTATACCATGACTGGGTAATGCCAAGAGTATAACGTTTGAGTTTCTTTTAAGTGCATGTAAGAAGAGGCCGCTCATAAATGCCCATCAAATTGAAGGGTTTTTCTTGGTTATTTATCTGATGAAATTCTTAATTGCTTGCCATATTTCTTCAATTGGCCCAAGATGAATTTCGTTAATTAACTAGATTGATATCCTTAAAACATAAAACACCATGTATGTCATGGTCTCAAGGCTCCCTTGGTCATTTTCACTGGTTAATTTGAATAGTTAGTCATTAATTAACCAATTCTTGACGACAGAGCAATGAGATTAGTCTCCAATAATCTTTGATGTCGTGACTCGTCGTGACCTACATGATGTGGATGTGAGATGGCTTCTGCAGGTGATGTCATTTCATTACTCAGTGGCTAATGTGGGTGATTGGATGCAGAAACATACCAGCATAGTACAGATTGGATCATCTGTCTAGTGGTCGATGTTGGGTTAACTTTATGTTTGGATGCTTTGTGTGACCTGGACTGTGGCATAAACTGCATTTGTGGCTAATACCCCTATTCTCACAAATTAAAATTGAAATTAGTTTTACCTTTTATGCTGTAGTTTGTCTTGCACACATGTTTCCTAATCCCTGATTGCTGTCTGTGTTTTATTTAATGTGTTGGTCAACAAAATTAGCTGCCCGTTCATTGTTGGGAGGCCTTGGCAACAATCTTGGTGTACAGGGAACGCCACATGAGATGTCATGCAGTGAGTTCTTGTTTCAGGTCAGTGTGTTTCTTTATTTGATGTTTCTTTCACCTTTAACGTTTCATTTCTCATTGTATTGTGGCCCTTGGTTTTCATGCATTTATCTTTGATGCAAGGAGCTGATTTTTTTTTTTGCTGGCTTTCTTGGCGCGACTCATTATCATTGCTTAAATACTTGTTGGCAAGGCCTTGCAAAAATTATATTTTCCCTTTGGTTTCTTTATTTAGTCATGATAATATATTTTAATTTATTTCGGAAAGTGAGTGAAAACTTGTGTTATATGGTCTTTCAAAAGTGGAAACTTTAGAGGGTGGTTTTTGTATGTTCTTGTGAAGTACTGTGCATGGGTTAACATAGATTTTAACGTCTATTGGCATGCTGAAATGGTGTAAATTCAGCCAGGTTGACAACCTGAAATAGTTGGGATAAGGTCTTGTTTATAGATCGAATTTTATACCATGACTGGGTAATGCCAAGAGTATAACGTTTGAGTTTCTTTTAAGTGCATGTAAGAAGAGGCCGCTCATAAATGCCCATCAAATTGAAGGGTTTTTCTTGGTTATTTATCTGATGAAATTCTTAATTGCTTGCCATATTTCTTCAATTGGCCCAAGATGAATTTCGTTAATTAACTAGATTGATATCCTTAAAACATAAAACACCATGTATGCCATGGTCTCAAGGCTCCCTTGGTCATTTTCACTGGTTAATTTGAATAGTTAGTCATTAATTAACCAATTCTTGATGACAGAGCAATGCGAGTAGTCTCCAATAATCTTTGATGTCGTGACTCGTCGTGACCTACTTTAATATATCCATTTTTGAAATCTCTTTTTTCTTTTTTTCTTTTTTTTCACTTGTGCAGCAATGCAGGACTTTCATACAGATGAGGACCAATCTTAAAGTTGTGGACAACTCAGGGGCAAAACGAGTGATGTGCATACAAGCTCTGAAGGGGAAGAAAGGGGCGAGACTAGGGGACACGATAGTTGCATCAGTAAAGGAATCCCAACCTGGAGGCAAAGTGAAGAAAGGAGATGTTGTTTATGGCGTTGTCGTGCGTGCTGCCATGCCGCGGGGCCGTTGTGATGGGAGTGAGGTCAAGTTCGATGACAATGCTGTGGTGCTTGTCAACAAGCAAGGCGAGCCAATAGGAACCAGAGTATTTGGGCCAGTCCCACACGAGCTAAGGAAGAAAAAGCATGTCAAGATTCTTAGTCTTGCGGAGCATATTGCCTGAGGTATGGATCTCTTGCTGTTTGAGACTTTCTGTCTAATTTTCCCATCCTTTCTGTGACACATGAAAGGTGCAAGAAAGTAGATTTTCTTCACAACAAGCTGAGATCTGCATTGCTGTTTAATCATATGTCAAAACCTGTTTATGGATATTATTCTTATGGAATTAGGGTATTTTGCCAAAACTGGAGAAGGTTGGGAGTCGAGCTTGACGGGAGGGTGGCCGGGGAGGTGGAGTACGCCTGCGACGAAGCAACCGTTCTTGCCGAGGACTGCGAGGGTGAAGCGGCGGCGCTGGAAGTCGTAGAAGATGCGGGATGGGGTTATGTCGAGTGTTTGTGCATGTGCTTAGAGTGATCTGGTATGTGTTGAAAAACTCCAGCAGGCAGCGAAGGCAAAGTTGCCGGCCGGCTGCCTGCCGGAAAGAATGGAGTATAGGCCTAAATCTTATTGCTCTGATACCATGTAAAATAAATTGATGTATATTATTGATTGATGTCTTGATTTTATTAATTACAATTCCTATACAATCTATATATAGAAGAAAATGTGGTAGTAGGTGTAGTGGAGGTGATAGTGGGTTAGGTGAAGTGGAGTGTGTGGTGAAGTGGAGGTAGGTGAAGTGGAGTGTGTAGTGGAGTAGGTGAAGGTAAAGATGGGAAATTCTAACAGATTCCATTCACTTCTATACCTGTCAAAAAACCCTCCATTAGCAGTGCTTGCTCAGTCTAAGCTTGTCTTTCAAAAGATGATTTTGGAGGCAATAGAAGTGCAAAAAAGGATATGAAAATACGTAGACTATTAAGTACAAAGACACTAGAAGTAAAATCATGCAAGGAAAAGTAGTTAGGTTTGGACAGGGTTTGCTCTGTTACCATTTGTCACGCCCTTTAGGTTTTGAATAAAGCCTGGTAGCTCGAAATTTATGGCTCGAATGGCCTGAATTTGATAGAAAGCGTTGGCAACCACTCTCTCTCCAAAACCCACTCCAAAAAAAAACACGTGCACGTTTTCTCTCTCCTCTCTATCTTTCTCTCCGACCAGACCCATTGTGATAATTGTTCTCTCTCCTCTCTTCAAAATGCACTCTCTCATCCCTCTTCTTCGCTCACACTTGACACTGAGCAATCGGAGCCGACACATCTCAACCGATGCTTCTTCAAAACACACTCTCTCATCCCTCTTCTTCGCTCACACTTAACACCGAGCAACCGGAGCCGACACATCTCAACTGACACCGGAGATTTGGTTAGTTGCTCCTCATTATCGACCAGAACAACAAGAATCTCAAGTAAACCCGATATCACAAAACTAGGGTTTTTGTTTTGATTTCAATTTCTGTTCAAAATCATAAATTGTGACTGTTTGGGTTTGGATTTTGCCTTTAATTTTTGAAACTAGGGTTTTTACTTTCTATCTCTAGCCTGCTAGCTCTGTAAATTGGTCTGTGATCTATAAAATAGGAATTTGATTCTTCCAATACCATTTCTACAAGTACCGATTTGGTGAATTTGGTTTTTCTTTGGAGAATTTAAGCAAACATTTGATGCTCTCCAAGGTTCTATCAAAAACCCAATTTAGGAGCACTGTTTAGAGACTCTACGCATTTCAGTTCTTGTATAATTCAAGTAGAATTTGATGCTTTCTGGTCCTGTTTTGGGTAATCCGTAAAGGGTCTATGCATCTACCCTTTGTTTGGATTTTTGTGCTTTTGATTCGTATCTTCAACTTCTAACAACTGGTATATGTCCGTATCCAGAGTTCTTTAGACTCCATTATTTCCTAGTTTGAATCTTAATTTGTTCTCATCATTTGTGTCTCAAATTAAGAGATTCAAATAATTATTTTCTAGTTTGAATCTTACAGCATATTATTATATTCAAATGTGCTTTAGACTCCATTAGAACAAGTTTCTGAATTTTTCACTCATATTGAGCATATTTCAATTGAAAGGCATCATAGTTTTCCTTTTCTGGGTCTTAAATCTTTATATATATTTTCTTTTGAGGGTTGAAATAAAACTGAAATGTTCAAAGTAAACATTGATGATAAAGGAATAACGAATACTCTTGGTTTGAACATGCAGGTTAGAAGGCCAAGTGCACTCAGTCAAGCACATCTAGCATGCCAATGTCAATGCAAAGGCCTACTCCATCAAGCAAGGCAGAGCCAATTCACCCAAATTCCAGTCAGTCAAGCAGGGGTAGTAGGCTAGTTCCCACTCACCCACATTTCAATCAACCAAGGGTAGCAGCCCAAGAATTTTTCTTTTCTTTTGTTTTGTTTGTGTATCAAGGGTAACAGAGAGACAATTGCTTTTGTGGGATTTTGTTTTGTGTACCGTTGCTGCTGTTATTTTATATGATTAATTGAATGTTAGTTTGTATTCTTACTATTTTTTTTGGTCATTGCCAATGATTTATCTATGATGAATTTGTTTAATTCAGGTGGTGTTTAGTTGTCAATACATGTTCATTTTCATGTCACATAACTTTACATTATAAATTACCTGTTTGTTTTCATTACATTAGAAAACATTGTGTGTTTAATTGATTATGTTAGTTTTTCATTTCACCTTTTCAACCAAAACATCACAATAAAAAAGAGTTAATATTCAATTCACTTAACAACATAAATATACAGAACACAGGTTCATTCTCATTTCACAAAACAACAGAACATTACAAAACTAAGCTTCACCCCCATTACAAAACATAGGTTCAGTCCCTTTCATATCCCCAAAATCCCATAAATACGCCCAACTCGCATCAATTTCTAATTCCATTTCTCATTTTCAGTGTCACCGGACAGCACCACTAATGATCCACCAGCAAAACAGCACCCAAGAAATCACAAGACATGCTAGCAACCTTCTCTCTCTTGCTCTCGACAAAGAAACATACTGTTGTTGTTGCTGTTGGTGCTTCTGATGATGAAAAGTCTGATCACCACCACCTAATTCCAAATCGGCCGAATCAAACCCTTGTTCAGTACCAGCACTCGACCTCTTTTCATCGCTCAATTGCTGAGGAGTGTCTGGAAATGAAGTATTTATAGAAGAAAGTTCATCAATGGACTTAGCGGCCACTTTAAGAAGCCACTCTATAGTCTTGCTAGGCTGATCATAACCCAAACGATCTTGAAGATCGTAAAACTGAATAGCGGTGGTGACCGAGAGGCGAACACGGCGATCCCGAAGCAAACCTTGCTGTCCCTAACAATACGAGACGATGGCCACCCACAAAGCCGCCCAACACCGCCACCGCCAATCTCAATCCCACCGCCGCCGCTCCTTTTGATTTCTCCATCTTCTTCATCATCAGGATATCGTTCTTCCCCCTTTTGCCCTATCTTGTTACAATCACCTCTACCGTTACCTATCCTTGGAAACTTGTGTCCCTGCGTTTGAATCTCGTCCACCTCCATACCACTCTCATGCCTTTCTCACAGCAAAACTTGAGCTTTTTCTTCTTCCCCTATCCTCCCAGTTTTTAGAGAGAGAAAAAGGGGCCCTATTTGGGATCTAAATTAGGGTGTGGTGGAGGAGAGAGAAAACTTTATGATATTGGGGTGTCCTTTGCATTGATGACGTTCAGTTCACTTTATTTTATTTTTTTTATAAATAGTACGTCTAATTATGAAAAAATTTAATTATATTTTTAAATATAAAAATTTTAACTTGTTAAAATAATTAAAAATTAAAATAATAACTTTTCAAACTACATGATTACGATTTCTGTTGAATATTGAGTTATATTAATCTATCTTGCTTTGGCATCGTAAAATAAATAATTATAAATATTTCAAAAATATTAAAATAGAATACATATCATTATAATACATTATTGTTACATTTAAGTGTGTGCCTTGAAAAGAGGTCAGAAAAAGCTAGGCAAGGGTAGAGCTGTTAGAGAAAAATGGTTATTACCATTAATTTTCGGTAATTTTGAGCTATCATTAATGTAGGATCCACACATTAGTTTTGGCGGGTTCGAGTGGCAACACGTTCCTTGCCATGTGGTGAACAAGAATATATACTCGGGTGGTTAAAATCATTTTCGAGTGAATGACAAATTGATACCGAAGGAAGCCTCATAAACATGAATATGTTTGGTGTGGCTCCTTTGAGTTTGTATCTAAACCATGTCTCATATAGAAAACATGGAAGAGTTTCTCTAAGTATATATGCTCCAAGTTAGAGACCTTGGGTTGGGCCTCAAGGGGTGCTCAAGTTTTGTAGGAGGAGGAGTTATGGACAAACCCAAAACCACCACCACACGCGGGCGCGAGTGTGGGTATGGGTCAAACCTATCCTTATTTTTTGTTCCAAAATTATTTGAAATGTTTCAAATAATTTCTGCGGGAAAAATTCAAATACCGAAATTTGGATTCAAAATTTTCAGTTATAATTCTTCTCCATCTCCGACCAGTCGTGCCTCCAGTCTGGCGACTGTTCATCATAACGTTCTTCTATTCCGGAAATGGCACTTCATTACTTATATATATAGTAACCCTCCATTCCAAAAAAAGACAATATTTTTTTTTTGTTCCTTTGCTTCCATCATCTCTCTTCATTGCTTCCTTCGTTCTTCATTTTGCATCTTGTGTGAATTCGAAAAATGCAGCCTGGTTCGCTGTACAAACAGTTCGCTGTGCTGCATCTGTTTGGGGTGATTGTTGAATCTTGGAAGCAAGACGTCCATTATTCTCGAGCACCTTAGGAGAGGACGAATTTCTGTCTTAAAGACACAGGGTTCAAACACTGGCTTCAATCACAAATTTGTTCTTAAGTTTCATTCTACAGAAAGTTGTGAGTTATCTCTTGTTCTATGTTTAGTTATTTATTGTAATTTAATTATTCTGTTAATTTAATTTTTTATCGAAAAATGTTTCCAACAATTTTTAAGACAGAAATTCTCGTCCTCTGTTTACTGGTTTACTTCTGTAAATCTGTTTCTTCATTTTTCGTTTAAAAAAATTAATTCACAGGAAAATTAACGTTGTTTGTGTATATAAATATATTCATGTTTTTTATTACATTGTGGGTGAATAGTTACGTATAATGGAGTAATATCAGTCTTTGTTTCATGAGTGCACTGTGTACAAATATTTGTGGGTTATATATATATATTTGTTTTGATTTCTTGTATCTGGAGCATGATTAGTTTTGTTTTTAGGAATTTTGGTACTTATAGCCTTTAACATATACTGTGTATTAAAGAAAGATTAATTGTATACAGAAATTTTATCTAATACAGAACTAAGTGTCCTTTGATTTACAGGTTGCCATATAACATTTGATTTCTGTATTCTTCTTTTTTGGTTTAAATAAACTTGTAATGTTTCTTACACAGTATGACTCTGTAATTGATTGTTTTAATTGGTCATATTACTGTTGGTCATTTTATTTGATTAATTTGGTAAGATAATTAATTTGGTCAATTTAATTGATTCTTTTGGCAGATTATTTGTTTGATTTAGTTTATACTATATAATCTGTTTTTATTTCCAATAAAGATAAAATCTTATTCTCCTCATATTTATTTAGTTATTTATTTTCCTATAGAATATTTTGTTCTAGAATATTGTTAGTTTATTTATTCTATTGAAAAATAATTTCTGTTTAATTTATTTTATTTTATTAATCAGAAAAATGGCAACTGAGAGTACTGTTATTACTCCTAATCCCATTGTGCCTCCACCAGTGGTTTCTATTCCGGTTGTTACTCCTACTCTGACTCATGGCCCAAGTCATGGACATGTTCCAATGAACCATGGAGAAAAACTTAAAAAATTCAGTGGTACCGATTTTAAAAAGTGACAACAAAAAATGTTATTTTATTTAACTACCCTAAATTTGGCAAAGTTTTTACAAGAAGATGCGCCAACTCTGAAGGAAGATGAGAGTGATGCGCAAGTTGTCGCTGCAGTAGATGCATGGAACCATGCAGACTTTCTCTGCAGGAACTGTATCCTCAATGGATTGGACAACACGTTGTACAATGTGTATAGTCCAATCAAGTTAGCAAAAACGCTGTGGGATTCCTTGGATCGCAAATATAAGACGGAAGATGCAGGAACAAAGAAATTTGTTATTGGCCGCTTCCTGGATTATAAGATGGTGGATTCCAAAATGGTGATCAGTCAAGTCCAAGATCTACAGCTTATCTTGCATGAAATTCACACAGAAGATATGTCTCTGAGCGAGTCTTTTCAGGTAGCAGCAGTAATTGAAAATTACCGCCGTCTTGGAAGGATTTCAAGAATTATTTAAAGCACAAGCGCAAAGAGATGTCATTGGAGGACTTGATTGTTCGATTGAGGATTGAAGAAGACAACCATGGGTCTGAAATGAAAAATGGGCGTCATCTCATGGAGGCCAAGGCTAATGTAGTGGAACAAAAGCCTAAGCACAACAGCAAGAAAATGAAGTATCCTGGTGAGAGTTCAAAATGAAGCTCTGGTTCAAAGACTAGAGAGGTTCAAAACTTCACAGGCAAATGCTATGTATGTGACAAGCAAGGACATCGTGCCAAAGATTGTTACAAGCGTCGGGCTCAACGAACCATGAAAAAGAAACCTGCTCAAGCCAACATAACAGAGGAGGAAAATCTTTGTGCAATGATTTCGGGATTACATATGTCCGGAATAGTGTCTGAAGTGAATTTGGTAAATAACCCCAAAACATGGTGTGTGGACACAGGTGCTACACACCACATTTGCTCTGAGAAAAAGATGTTCTCCACATATCAAGTGGTAGATAATGAAGAACAACTTTATATGGGCAATTCTTCTACCTTCAAGATTGAAGGCAAAGGACAGGTAGTACTTAAGATGACATCAGGCAAAGAACTTACTTTGAAAGAGGTGCTGCATGTACCAGAAATTCGAAAGAACCTAGTATCTGGATCATTACTGAGTAAGAGTGGGTTTCGCCTTGTGTTTGAATCTAACAAATTTGCACTCACTAAAAATGGGATGTATGTGGGGAAAGGGTACTTAAGCGATGGGCACTTCAAACTAAATGTAATGACAGTGGTTCCTACTTTTAATAAAAATAGCACATCTTCTGCTTACTTTGTTGAGTCTTTATATATGTGGCATGGTAGATTAGGATATGTTAATTATGGTGCTTTGCGTAGATTAATTAACTTAGAATATCTACCTAAATTTCATACCGATACAAATCATAAGTGTGAAGTATGTGTTGAATCAAAATTGACTAAGGCATCTTTTAAGTCAATTGAAAGAAATACTGAACCTCTGGATCTAATCCATAGTGATATATGTGATTTGAAATTTGTTCAAACACGAGGAGGAAAAAAATATATCATAACCTTTATTGATGATAGCACTCGGTATTGCTATGTATACTTGCTGCGAAGCAATGATGAAGCCTTAGAAAAATTCATAGAATTTAAGGCTGAGGTTGAGAATCAACTTGGCAAGAAAATAAAGGCTATAAGAAGTGACAGAGGTGGTGAATATGAAACACCATTTGGTGAGTTATGTTCACAATTAGGAATAATACATCAAACCACCGCGCCTTAAGCACCTCAGCAAAATGGAATTACTGAGTGGAAAAATCGAACTTTGAAAGAAATGATGAATGCCATGGTAATAAGTTCAGGGTTACCTTAGAACTTGTGAGGGGAAGCAATACTTTCCCCTAATCATATTCTCAACAAAATTCCTCATAAGAAGTCTAATAAAACACCCTATGAATTATGGAAAGGTCGAAAGCCTTCCTATAAATACTTGAAGTGTGGAGATGTTTAGCTAAGGTGGCAATACCAGAATCAAAAAAAGTTAAAATTGGACCCAAGACTGTTGATTGTATTTTCATAGGATATGCAAACAACAGCAGTGCCTATCGGTTTTTAGTGCATAAAAGTGAGAACACAGAGAAGTTTGTGGCAGCGGTGGTGGCAAGTTGTGGCTAGGATTTGGTTAAGTTTAAAGGATCAAGAAGTAAGGGGTGTTTTTGACAACAAATGATGAATACTAAGTAAAACTTCGGTTGCGTTTGGTAGAGCTTTCTAAATATGATTTGAGAATAAGAGTTGTGTTTTGAGTTTGAGTTTTGGAATTATGATTTGAGTGTAGAAAATTTGTTTGGTGAATGAGTTTTGAATTGAGTGGGGAATTTTTGATGTGTCTTATGATATTTGATACAAAAACTTACAATTCATAACCAAACACGCAACTCAAAATTTTATTAAAACTCATAAAAAAATTAAAAAAATTCGGAAAATATTTTTTTGTTGAATATATAAAAATTATCATGTCAATTGCAAAAAAAAAAAAAAAAAAATTGCACAATTCTAGTCAATCGGCCGGATGACCGGTTAGTCTAAATTTTTCCGCCTTCGACCGAGTTTTCAAAAGTTCGTGTGGAATTAATTTTTGAAAGGTGTAAACAAACA